CCTCACACATTGCTCTGTAAGTAAACCCAGAAAACTCATTGATTTCCCAATCTGACGAAACTGTACCTTGGTTTGTTGTTGGGACCAAGGAGGGTGGACATTGTTTACAACCCCCAGAGAATTTTAGCAACAGATAATGAGTATAAATCAATACATTCAACGCCTGACAGAGTGAGCTCTTACCAAGTATTTAGATGATGATAATAAAGAAGGAGGAGGAGGAGGAGGAGGAGGAGGGAGGAAGGGGAAGGGGAAGGGGAAGAAGAAGACAATGATGACTTTAAGGAACTATGAGGAAGAAACTAACTTGCCCAAGGTAATTTTTCTATCTTCATTGACAGTCTCCTGAAATGGACATAGGATCCTACATTGATTTTAACTTTAAGACCCCATTTGCCTCCAAGAAGTTGAAAAAAAAATCTTTTGAGGATGTCAATATATTTTTTTATCCAAAAAAAAGTATCAGGAAAGAGTTGCCAGCTTCAGAATTCATATGCATGCCACGTTGAAACTGGAACTTTCTTGGCAAGGCCAGAGTTGGGAATGTGTACTTTGAAATATATAATACTTGCTATTTTTTCTAGAAGGAACCTAGGAGCAATTCTAGAACACTCTTCCCATATTCTACAGTGACTAAAAGTTTGGGGCACCAGAAATTAACAATGATTAAAAATAATTTTAATAATGCAACTGGTATAGAGTTTTATCTATTTTGTGGGTCTTCTGAAGTATTTTTAGTTCCTCAGACCCTGTTAGTGCTCTGGGGGACCAATAAAATCCTTCTGTTTCCTCCACAACTTCTTCATGGCCAAGATCACTTCCTTATTTCTTAGGGTATAAATAGCCGGATTCAGCATGGGGGTGACCATTGTGTATAACACAGAAACTGCCTTGTCCATTGGGAATGTTCTAAAGGGCCTTGCGTAGATGTAGATGCAAGGTACAAAGATTATGGTCACCACAGCAATGTGAGAGGCACAGGTAGACAGAGCCTTGCTACGGTCCTCCCGAGAGTGGCTTCGGAGCATCACTAGCAGGGCTGTGTAGGATCCCAGTAGCACTAGAAAACACATGAGGGTGACCAAACCATTGTTTGACACCATCAGAAGCTCCAGGACAAAGGTATCCGTGCAGGCCAATTTGATCAGCTGAGGCACATCACAGTAAAAGTTATCTAGCTTGTCAGGTCCACAGAATGGCAGGTGGATAGTCAACCAACTTGTACAATGGAGTGGATGAAGCCCCCCACCCATGAGGCTGCCATGAAAAAGCCACAGACTGTGTGATTCATGAGTGTGTAGCGTAGGGGCTGGGAAATGGCAATGTAGTGGTCATATGCCATGACAGTCAGCAGGAAGATCTTGATGCCACCAATGAAGTGAAAAAAGAACAGCCTGGTCAGGCAGGAACTGAAGGAAATGGTTGGGTTGCATGAGAGCAAGTCAACCAGCATCCTCGGGGCAGTGATGGAAGAATAGCAGAAGTCCAGGAATGAAAGGTTGCCTAAGAGAAAATACATCATCGTATGCAAGCGCGGATCAGATGTCACGATGGGCACAATAAGCAGATTGCCAGTGACCATCATAAGATACACAGCTGACAAGACAGTGAAGAAGAGGAGCCAAAGCTCCCATACCTGAGAGAGCCCCAGGAGCACAAACGCTGTCACCTGGGAATGGTTTGCTGGGTTCATCTGCCTGGTATGGCTAGTGAAGGGCCCTGCCAAGGAAAATGGGTGTATACAAGGAGAAAGTTGAGATGTTTTAAGTCTCACCCAAAGAAGAATAAACACTAGGTATGTAGGTAGGCAGATAGATTATAGATAGATAGATAGATAGATAGATAGATAGATAGGATAGATGATAGATAGATTAGATAGATGATAGATAGATAGATGATAGATACATAATAGTTACATGCTGACACATACATACATGCTAGTACTGATATGTAAACTCAGTTTTTCTGCTATTAAAAAACTCTGCCCACTTACATCTTTTAGGGAGTCCTATATAAATTCCTTTGCAAATTGTTTTTATTCCTTGATGGCAGAGAGGAGTTAGAGGATGTTATTACAAATGTAAAAGAAAGCTTTGGTTACTATAAACAATTGGAGTGTTTCATCATCACGAAGATTATGTGGTGCATGTTGTAGGATTCTTTAGCACTTGTTTCTTGAAGGAATGTATCCAGTCAAGAGACAGTTTGAGCACGTTTATCTAGCAAAGCAGTAGAAGCAAGTCTAAGCAATGTGAGCACTCGAAGACTGGAGTGGGCTGCCCCAGGGTGGGGAACAGCATAGTGGGTTATGCATTGTGGACTTTAAAGAAGTTGCAATGAGCATTTATGAAGAATGTGACACATTGATGAAGTAACTTAGCCCATTTTCTGTCCCAAATCATGGAAAACTCGGTCTTCCTTTTAGGGCATTTCCTCCCATGATTTCCGCAGAAGGGGAAGGGTGTCACAAACAATATTATAATGACATCAGGTCTTTTGAGGTTGAAGTTCTTTCACTAGTGCACATGTGTGAGTTTTGGTGCCTTGTTTCTAATCTAGTGGGAAAAACCGAATGGCAGCTGCGAATATGTTTGATCACAAAGTGGCATTTTGACCCTCAGCAGACACAGCTGCAAGACACGCTTTCTCTTGGTACCTCGCATTGAACTCTTTCCTCTGCTGTAGTCTGGGGTGACTGCTCCGTGGAATAGGTAGAGGCTTTCTCAGAAGCTGTTCATACTCAAACGTAGTCTGTTGTAACTGCATGCATTAGAAGAGCATGTGAAAGGACAGCTGCGCCTTGCACATGTTCCTCAA